TAATAATGAATAACTTTTTTTTTTAATTTTAATTATAATTATATATATATATATTAATGCTCACATATATAATATAATATATTAAAAAAATAATTTTTGATAAAATAAAATTTGCATTATTTATGTTTTTTATTTATTGTATATGTTGATTAAAAAAAATTAAAATAATAAACATTGTAAGATTATATACATTGATTAAAAAAATCAAAATAGAAAAGACTGGATGATTTATGTTCTATTTAAAATTTTTATTATAAAATATGTTTTAAAATAAATTATCATCTAAAAATTTATATTAGATATTAAAAACATGTTTATATCATAAATAAACTTAACTTAATTTTTATACAATTTAACGTATTCATTTTTTATGTTTTTATTAGTGTTAAATTATTATAAAATATGTGTTTAGGATTGTAGTTCAAATCAAATATTTAAAAAAAATGTCTATAACAGATAAATAAGTTATATTTAGAACATGTATTTTAAAAAAAAGTTAAATTTAAACTTATTAAATTATAATATAACTTAGTCTAGTTTAATTTATTTTCATCCTTAATCGTAATCGTAAATATAAAAACTTATAAAAAATATTTATGATATATATTTATATATTTAAAAGTTATATATTAAATTTTTAATATTATAAATATATGAATAAATATTGTTTTTATCATCTAAATTTTTTGGATCCATTACTAGATATGACTTTTTAAAAAAAAAAAAAAATACTATCACAACTAGAGTCACAATATTGATAATAGAGGGGCGCCACTATAGTTTATAAGGAAAACTACAGAAAATAAAAGAAAAAGGGTCTTGAACAAAAAAAAATAGTTAAATTACTTTTAAGAAAGTTGTTAGCATATCGAATGATGTTGATTACAAGACGATTACTTTTAATTAAATGTATATAATTAATATTACCTTAAAATTACTTATCTTTTTCTTAAAAAGAAATAAAACAAAAAAAATTATTATATATTTTTCCTTATTTGTTTGGTTAATTATTTATTTTTAAAATAAACATTATTAAGTATATTTAATTATTTAATTGGAAAAATAATATTATTTTTATTTTTAATCTTTTTAAATCGACAATAGTTGAGTTTGTTCCTAAATATTCTCGGGTTACGTAATTCATTTGGTAAAAAAATATCATTTTGTGGGTTAACGCATTTTAATTTAGTATCTTTAATACAAAATTTTATTGATTTTTATTATATTCTATTATTCATTTCTATTGTTTTTAATTTAATTAACTGAAAAAAATATATCTAGACTCAACATCCACAACCATATAAGATCTAACAGATATATATGGAATGTCTCTAGACAAATTTTCATAATATCAAGTAGACCTGAGGCCCAAAATGACAATTACTAAATCTACATTATAATTATTTTTTATTAATTTTATTGTGTTTTACGCCTTAACTAATTAATTAACTTGGTCAAAATCTAGAAGCAACCTCTGCAACGATTGACAACCTAGCAGATGCACACGTGTCTCTAGATAGATTTTCGTAATTGACAAGTAGACTGGAGACA